CCACATAATCAAATTTAACCTGACTGCCAGCTAGGAAGGAGCTCAAAATGATGATGATGATGATGATGATGTGGCTTTTGCGAAAAGTGGGAAAACCCACACCCCACTGCAGTTGTCCGAATGCAGCAGTATTTAATTGAACTTCCTACATACTTTTCCTCTTCCATTCCCTAGAACATGCACATCGTAATGAACTGAACCAATTTGCATCTGCAATTCGGGTAATATGAGCCCATGGTGTAGCATAAATTTCTTCGCCTCTTGGGGCTCTAAAACTCAGTCTTGAGTATTTGGAAAACAATTTCAAAAGCAATTTGCGCTTGCATCGAGAATAATCAATTTTCTTGGCTGTGTTTTAGGGAAATTAATGTGGGGTACAACTTTAGAAGGGCAATTAATTTCTACAAAACTCGTAACACTATTTATCGAACTTATGTTTTGTAAAATTAAATATTAATTATTCCTGCATTTCTATGTCCCCTTTTTGACCAGATGGCTGAATTCCAGTTCTCAAATATTTGCCAAAGCCAACAACTTCAATATTTATCCTACCATCCAGGAATGGCAACTAATTAAGCCATTTTTTATGGCCCACTCCATCGGTTAGCCAACTCAGTGCTGCAGCTGGCCAACAAAACACCCAGCACTACCAACTACCATCGCTCCCCAAAGCCACCCAAAAGCCCATCTGAAAATCCACCCGAACCACCGCAGACTACAATGAACGCTAGCTGGAATGCGGGTTTGGGTCTTCATGATGTTATCCTGTGGCTTTCGGTTTCATAGTAAATTATTATTATTATTATTTTACGGGGACGTAGCAGGAGTGCCAGCTGCAGTTTCAGTGTTGTGGTTGCGGACAGTGTTGAAATTAAACACTGTAAGCAGATTTCCTAAGCTCCTCTATCTCTGAAATGAATGAAATCAAGTTGCTGGGCAAATGGTTTTGTGGCTTCGGTCTTTCAACAAAATTAGGCAAAGGCAGATAATTATTTATATTTGGCTGCCAAGGATTTGCTTCTTCCCCAGTCATAATTGCCCGTGGCTGCTGGGATGTCTGAATTTGTCAATGGGTTTTCGGTCTGAAACTTCTAGGAAATTCATGTGGTCGTTAGACCAAAATGTAGATGTTGCTCAACACTTGCACTGTAGAAATTGATTCATTTGCATTTATTTAAATTTCACTGGACAACCCAGTTGTTGGTCCATAAAAAGTAAGCCCACCCTGCTTCAACTTTTGGCTCATTTAAACTTTTGTTTCCACCTGTAGATCGTTTGTAAAAATCCTGCTCAGTGCAAACAAAATAATAATAACGTTTAGTGCCGGGCAAAGTTTAAGCAAACAAAAGTCTCACAATCGGGTGGGCTTTAGACCAAAAATAATGGTTTGGAAGACTGGCTAAAAATACGAAAAAAAGAAACTTTGAGGTCTTTAATTTAATGCTTGGTTACCTTTCTTTTTCTTCCATTTTTTTTTCCTTTGTTGCTGGGGCAACGAATCTTAAAAATTGCTCAAGTGGTTTCTGAGTAACTTGAGCCGAGAAACAAGTTTAAAGTGTGCTCACAGGCGCTGCCAAAATGAACGAAATTGAGACCCAAGCGCTTACCTTTATTGTAAGGGATTTACGCCTGAAAGCATGTTATAAAACAATAACTAGAAGATTTATTGTACGGCCTACCTGGCATACCGGTGCTTCTGTTTTCATTAATATGTGCCCAGGGTGGCTGCCCTGCGCCTTTCATAAATTTTCGGCGGCAACTGTACCCCACACCTTCACCCAAAAATTTGTGGAGAGACCTCTTCTTAAATGGAATGTTTATTCCACAGTCTTCTACCCTTAGGATTATTGCCTGTTAGCCGAAAGACTAATTCGTATTTATAACTGGAAATCCACAGAGATTTATATGGGCACTTATCTCAAACAATTGCATTTATATGTAACGAAAGAGAAGCAACTGTACTTAAACATATTTTAATCATTTTTCGCGTTTCTTATCTTAACCTTTATCCCAAATCACATTTATCTTATTTTAATTTGAAAAATGTTACTTACTAAAGGTAAATAACATTTAAATGACACCGTTGATAAATTAACTCTCCTACCAACACTGGTTTTAAATAAACTCTTTTATCAACACTGGGAGCAAGTTTACTCTTACCAATACTGGATACTCGTCCACCCTTCTATATATGACTCTTTTAGCAATTTTACTTACTCACATTTATAACGTGTAATCACATTTAATCAGGTTATACATCTTGCCTATCTAACCTAATTCTACTTCCTCCAATCCTGGATGCTACCGCACCGCTTAATTGAAGAGGCAGTAACTTTTTCGCAAGTCAACTTCCTGCTTAATCATCTGTGCTTAAGTGAGGGAGACAGATATGCTGTGGTCTATCAGCTCGACAAATCCCTGAGGCAAATATCATTTTAACAATGGCATTAAATGAATTTGCATAATTAGCTGCAGCTTAGTCAAGTACTCGTCATCCCCCGGCCAACTTCTCCATTTATCCACGTTTTTGCGCTCCCCTTGTGGCCATGGTCCTGTGGTTATGATGCATGTGTGACATTAGCTCAGACACGTAATGCCAAATGGGTTCGCACAGCGGGTGGGACGAGATTCTATATATGGGGGGAAAGTCCAGTAAATAAGGGAGCAAAGCTATCAGGATACGGAATTTATTTGCTTTAACCCACATCATCTTTAATGAGAAAATGTGATATAAATTCTTTTGTTTAATAATCCTATGCTATGTAGCTTAGAATCATTTTCTCAATGTAACTCTTAATATTATCTTGCCAAATTTGTATTGTCTTATATTAATCAACTCTTGCATCAAGTAGTTTTGCAATCATGTTCACAGCTGATTGCGCACTTTGCATCAATTGGCAATGCATTTATCTGAGAAAATCCATCTAATCCTGGCTCTCAATTCATAATTCAATCTTAAGCGAATCAAGTGAACAACAATTTGCGAACTAATTAATTATAGAAATGCAGCAAAACGCATACAAATTGAATGAGCTTAAGATGGGAATTGCTGGCGGCTAAAGGAGAAAGAGACTGGCCATAAATCCTCTCAACGGCAATAGAAGACTTTGGAGCACAAAGTTGGCCGAGTGAAAGTGAGATGTGAAAAGTTTAGAGGCCAAGTTAAGTCAAGTCCCCGGCCAAGCATGTTTAGCAAAGTTCATTAAGCACTTAACAAACAGAGCGCACCAAGGGAACTTAATGTGCTTTGGCGTAATTCAACTAAACAAAGTACCAAAGTTCTTAGCCCAGTTCAGTTCAGTTTGGTTCGGCTCGGTTCGTTTTGGTTTTCCCGGGGAAGAGGGCAATGTTGCATAGATGAAAATCAAATGCGGTCATATCCTCTTACTCCCCGTCCATGTATGCACATTCCTGCACCCACACATGCAGCTGAATGTTTTGGTCATTCAGGAGCGTCCTGGCATTTTTGCATTTACCGTCAGCGTCCCCGCCAGTGGCTGCAAAACTGTGCCACAGCACAATGTTGTGGCTGCGGCGGTGGAACCCCTTGGTTTCCACACTCAAAAAAAATAGTGATAACAATAAACATTAAAAAAAGTATTGGGTTCCTACTAAAAATATAAAAAAGCAAAAGGGAGATATGTTAAAGATAGACGGCGAAATAAATACAAATTATTCATACACACATTTATAGACTCTTTTAATAACTTTTAAAATTAATACTTATTTTAGTTTAAGAAAATACTTACAAATTCTTTATCTTCTTTAAAGTCTTATTAAAGATACTTCGATTCTTTTCCAGTGCATGAGTATGGTAGAATGTAACCAGCGAGAAGGTTCAGAGGGGCAGAGTTTGTTCAAGCGAACATTGTTAGCCTGCGGCCAAAAGGCTTTCAAAGTTTTCGTGGTTTGGCTGCCAAGGGGTGGTAAAGGGTGGCAAGATGGCCAAGGGTTATGGGGGGGTTGCTTTGAATTATTGCCAAACATGGTGGATGGTGGGCGACATGGGGGTGCCCTGTAGAAAGGGGTGACCAATCGGCCCATGCTCTTTTGCCAAAGGATAAGGAAAAAAGTTAATTGGCAAATGGCCAAATGAGTTCAATTTGAAGTTGGCTCAAAAGACAGGAAAAGTGAGTGAGGGAAGTTGGTTCATTTCGAATGGATTCATCTGAAATGAAAGAAATAGTTGAAACTGCTGAAAGTACTGAAAAGTTTTCAGAGAATTTATCAATTTTTTAAAACTACAGAACGTTTTATTTTTACTGCAATCAAGTTTGATTATCACAAATGTTCGAGTAAAATATTTGGTATTTTAGGACTTTACAAAAAATATGTAATGTATATTTAATGAATAGGATTCATTTTCCTCCTTAACATTTTCGTTTGTCTTTTCTTTTGCCTATAGCTTCTATTTTTTCCCCATATTTTGTTGAAAGTAATGCATTAACGTAATTTGACTGACATAAGGCATCAACGTCAGATTTAACATATAGAAAACCCCAAACCCCAACTTGTCATTGATAAATTTAGCCTGGCTGTCAACGCTTTTTTTTGTTGCGGATTTCCCATTTTGTCTTGTTGCTATTTTTAATATGCATCCCATTTGGCATTCGCTAACCCAGATTCAGATATACTGGTATACATGTATCTTTTAGCTACTTCTCTTCGTTACTTTGAGCGACATATTTCAGCTTTGCCCTCTTCCTCCACCTTTTCATTTTGTTTTTTTTTGCCTCCTTGGCCATTACCATTAGCATGAAATGGCTGCCGTTTTGCTGGCCATTTTGGGCACCCCTCCACTTGGAAAGCTTCTTCTAATTACGCTCTTAAAACAAAAAAAGTTAATGCATAAAAAATAGCTCGTTAAATGCTCCCCCCTGCAGCTCAATGACAACTTTGGGTCTTGGCATTGTTATTGCAAAACATTTTCGCTATGTATTTTAAGCAGACACAATCACATTTTTAAATTTCTAATTTTTTTATATACTTTTTCATTGCAGATCAAATTAATTGAAATTGTTTTTTATATTTGGTAAGTTTTTATCAAAATTTGATACACTTAATTTTGCTTTAAAAATATATTTTAGTGTTTAAATTCTCTACAAAAATAGTTAAATTTATATGGCATTTGTCTGAAAGCTTAAGCTTTGAATTCAGCTTGTGGAGAAGATATTATCTCTCGAGGAAACTTTTCAAGAATTTAGCTTAAATTCCGATTAGATGCAGCAAATGGTACGGCAAATGATTCGAACTTTTCCAGCTATTTCATCGTGCATTATGCTGACCCCAAAACTCATTAACTATGCTTTTTCTGGGCGAATTCGAGCACTTTAGCGCCACAGAAAATGCAACGCTTTTTGGCTCCTAATTGCTGGCATTTGGCATCCGAAAATTTGCCTGCCCAATGAAGCATGCCACCAAAGTCCTTTTCCCCCACGATTAAGCAAAAGATGAAGGAAAATGCAGCCGCAGCGCAGGGCGAAATCTAATTTAAAATTTTGTGCGACGTTGGCGGGAAATGGAATTTTTTCTCCATGGTTTATATTTTCTCATCGCTGATTAAACGGCATGCTCATCTCAGCTCAAAATCACTAATGGCCCAGCAACCAAACCCGCATATGATGTTAAATTAGAGCCCGAACTTTTGATGCAGCATGATTGGGTGTTTGGCATTTGGCGTTGATTTGAAATTGTGTTCTCTTTGAAAGTTGCATTGGGGAAATGCTTTTGGTTTGAAATTTCTGCGTTCGCTTAATTAACTGCTTTTAATTATTTTGGGTGTGCAAAACCACAGGCACACACACAGAAGCAGGCTAATTGCTATTTAGTTTGAAATATTATGTAGCATACTTTTATGGGTGGCATTTATATTAGCTTTCAGAGAGGTGAAAGTAAAGTGTATTTAAATATTTTTATCTTACAGATAAAAACCAAAAAATTTCTTAGAAACTATTATAAAAACACCTTTATAAGAAGTCAATAAAGTCTATATAACAGCTAGTCTGTGGTTTTACTTATGAATATATTATTAGTTGGCTTTGCTATTATCATAACCATTTCATCACAATTAATAACCGGAAATCAAATTTGTCATTTGGAAACCCCTTGTAGCAAACCACTCAGTGCTAATTTAATTAATGAAGCATAATGTTATATCAGACCATGGCTCCTTCTCCAGTTATTCAATATTTCGAACAAAACCGCAGGAATATTACTGATGAAAAGGACTCTGGTTGCTAAATGGGTGGGTACTGACCACTCAGTTTCCCCTGGGCTTCGAAAATTGAGCCACCTAAACAATTGTCAATTAAATTTTACTCCTGTTCGCCCGTCGGCTGGTGTGGGTGAATGTTATAAAAGCCAAGACACGTTCGATGCGGTGGTGGAATTTTCAATCGGTTCACACCTCCCACTCCACCTGCTAAACGACCTTCCACCCACTGGAGGTCCGCAGACGCGTCTCTAATTTGCATTAAAAGGTGAGCCAGCTGGTTGCACCCCTTTTGGCCACTGGATGCTGTTGCTGGCAACCAACTGTTGCGTAACTTGGGGGGTAATCACAGTACGGTGCGGCATAACAGGCCTTGCAACCCTTCACCACTTCAGTTGTTGATTTAATTTTATAATTTTAACGCACAATTTCCCCAATAAATTTCCATTGTGGGTATCCATGATTTGTGTTTAAATATTTGCAGTCCTGGGAAATCATTTCGCAAGTGGAATAAATTACTCATTGATCGGCGGACGCTTTTAGAAAATTGTTTTCACCAAATTGCATTTATTATTTGTCACGTTTTCCAATCAGCATTATACGAAAGGTCATTGCCTAATTAAAAATGTATGCAAATTATATTTTTCCATTCTGAGAAATGGGTAATATGAGATTTTTATTGAACTACGCTTTTTTCCCCATGAAATATCAATATTTTTCCAAGTTTTCTTTTGCCAGAAAGTCACTCTCTATATATATAGTTTATCACGTGTGGGTGCTGCAAGCAAATATTTAGTCAAGTGTTCGATTTGGAACTGAAAGGCAAAAATTGTGACTCACTTGAGAGTGCACTGAGTCCCAACCCATTCAAACATTTAATTTTTTCTCTTTTATTTGGATCAAAATTGAAATTTAATTTCCTAATTGAATGGTTTTGCCATGTTCTGTCTGAACGAGGGGGTTTCCTTGTCCTCCACTGCCAATTTCCATTTAATTGAAAATTTATCAGTTGCATTTGCATATGCTCGGCTCCCATTTTCTGAAATTGACATTCCTCCATGCATTTGTGGACCTTTTGAACGGCAAAAGCCAACAAATTTTCTACGCACACTCGGTCATTATTAGTTTCTTCAAATTGCCTTTTAGCTTTTTGTGACTTTCCTTGTACTTGGTACGATTTAAAGCATTTTTTCTTAAAGGAAATTTATAAACATTTTTTAAAGTTTACATTTTATGTTTGTTATTATTTGGGGTATCAAAGAAATTAAATTACTTAAAATTAAAGTAAAAAATTATTAAATTTAAATAAATTAAAAGCTAAAGTTCCCTGAAAATAATATAATTTTAAGATAATTATATCTATTCTACTTTTTAAATTCAAACTAAGTAAAGAAATATTGTTTATATAAACAGTTTTAAATTTTGAAAATGTTTTTTAACTTTATGAAAATGTTCTTAAGAATGCTTTTAACTTTAATTGGTTTCTTCCCGCCCTTATACCCATAATAACCATTTGTGACTGCAGCTGCATATGGTTGCTTTAATGATATAGTCGCCCTTATTGCTGCTGCTTCTTTTTAACTCCACCCCCGTGGACATTTAATTTGCCATTGACAACGTGAAAAACTTCACATGGCATCGTTGAAATATTTGCGTGGTTCTCACCCTGTCATTTCCTCCGGTTCCATCAACATTAAATGACTGCGTCGGTCGCTTAATTGAGATTGTCGGGGGTGTGGGTATTATCGCTCGCTTATTAATTTATTTTTTATGTTTAATAACAGGCGCAAGGCTGTGGCGCCATTGCAAAGGATGACGCCAAAAAACGAGGAAAAAATATGAGTCTGATAAAGGCAGCAGGCCAACACAAAAATAACATTGTGAAGAGGTTGTAAATTAATACCCATGGCATGCGCCCACCATCTATCTCATCATTATCTATCCATCGTTCTTTATCGGTTAACCAAAGTACCGAGAAATAGGTTCATAAATTTCCGCCGAATTTTCGTGGAACTATTTTCCTCGATTTCCTGTTGTTTTCCTGTTTTAAATGCAAGGCAGCAATTAAAGCTGTTTTGTGGCGGGTCCAAAAAGCCACTTCTGCGGGGATTATGGATATCGTTGGCTTGGCTGGCTACCTCGCCTCATTCGGTGGTCGTTTAATTAATAGCAAGCTGATTAATTAGTATTTGTGTGCGATATCCTTGGCCGCAGGGGAGGGTCACTTCTGGAGTTGAGGGTCGCATTTCCGGGCTTTAACTGCGCTTCGCGGAATTGCATTATTTCCATCTACTGCCATGTAAAGGCTGATGCTGCTGCCAATGCAAATTGCCATTAATTTCATTAGTTGATTGTCGTCATGGCAATTCCCTTTGTGGATTTTATAATTGCCGGAACCACATAATGGTGGAAAGGGGATAAAGGGGAGTAGGCCTTGGGCTGAGTGGAAATATGCATATGGTGCTTGCTAATAAATTAATTGGAGTGGGTGTGAAAATGGTGAAATGCTGTTTGTTTTGCGGTGACTGCCAATTGCACATTCCCTTTAAACTTTCACCCTTTAATTGCTTTTAATTGAATAATGTTAGTTTGTTGGTAAGCACTTTTTTTCCCGTATTGATTTCAGCTTTGGGCAGCCTTTGATAATAAAAATAAATTATTCATAAATTTATTTTTCAATTTATTTAAATTGTAATATACTTGGATTCCATGTTTTTTCCTTTTATTTATACCTTGTCATTTTTTCACCACAAATGTTGCCGCTACCAAAATCCATCAAATAAAATCAATTTATTTTCAAGCTTCTTTGCCTAACTTTTTTTTTTCTTTTCCCCATATCCTCCTCCAATCGCTTGGCTGCAATCGAAACTTTTTCAGATTACCCTAGACCAAAGCAAAGGAGCAAACAAATTTTATATGGAATTATATTGCATTTTTATTACCTACCGCATATAAATTTTTTGTCAAAGCAGCCGCCGGGCACGTAACATTTTAAAAAACAATTTTGGCTTGATACAATTTCTTGTATTATCACCCAAAAAAATGTATGTATGCAAACACACGAACCAGAGGCAGCTTGAATCGCAAAAGGAGACCGTTCAAAGGGGCGTATGGGCAATTTTATTTGCATGCGTGCGTTCCAACGGTTGCCCTGCGGCTCCTTATCACTTTATATGTGTATGGGTGGGGGTGTGTGGGAGTGTGTGGTTGTGCGGAGAGAGTTCCTTGATGGTGTGTGTAAGATATAGATTGGGGTAGACGGCGACCCTCAGTCGCGCAGGCAATCAAACTCCATGTTCCGGAACACGTATACGCCACGTAACCCCGCCAAAAAAATATACATATTAGGAACTCCTCTTTACTCAATCATTTCAATAAAATGATTTTTTCATTTGAAAATAGTAATTCACTTAATGAAAAAGAAAAGCATACTTTAAAAAACATTTTTTTTATCGATTTGTTAAGCAATTTTATAACCATTCAATTAGTTCCATCAGTTTAAAATAGCATTTCTTTATTCATACAGCTAAAATAAAATAGCTCTGAATATATGGCATAATTTTCAGTACTTTACATATTTTTACCTGCACATAAAATACACAGGGATGTAAATAATGTCAGACCATCTTATCGGATATCAGAAAAAATTGTGAGGAAAAAATGTTCAAGGATGAGTTTGTGTGTTTAAAATTTATAAATATATATATGCGCAGCCTGGAGGGAAGCTGTTGTTTATTGTCTGACAAGGTGGCGCCTTCTTTAATGCCTTTTCATGCCTTATTTAAAATGATTTTCAGTTTACCACTCAGGAAATTACTTTC